TCGGTCGACGACAACCAAAACTGTGTCGTTTCCACTGGGTCCGGCCGGTAGTCCCTTAACAAAATCCATCGTTACGTGTTGCCATGGGCGTTGAGGTGGCTCGAGGGGCTGCAACAGTCTTGTAGGTCGCTGGTGTGATGACTTCATTCGCTGGCAGATCGGACACGCGACCACGTAACAGTGCACGTCCGTCACCATATCTGGCCAGTAATAAAACCACTGCAACGCCTTCGGAGTTTTATCAAGGGAAAATACATCGGCGCTCAGTATTAGGGGCCTCGATAACATGAACAGTCAGTGACACGACACAAACAATCAGAATTAGTGAGTTTGCAATATGTTTCATCAGTCGAGTTCCACCGTTAGTCAGAAACTACACGAAAAAAGTTCCACGAATGGTCAGTAGAAGTAACCCTCGCCCGTTTCGGAACGTTTTCCCGCCCGCGCCAGCCCGATTTCGTCCCCATTGTGGCTGGCGCAATATTTTTCCCGAGGTCCAAGCGCAGTTCGAGCGAAAAAACACAATATGCCCAAATTAAAATTCGTTGGACATTTGTTTGTCGAGAAACACGAAAACACGATTTTGTTTCGAAGGGCATACTTTTGTCACAGAATGTAGCGCGTCTCGCGATGATAAAAAATGGTGGCTTTGTCTCTACCGCATTTACGACCCCCAAAAAAAGTCAAGCCATAAACTTGTTGTCATTCCCGAGTCGCCCGAAAACAAAAGGATATATAAATAGCTACGGAGGTTTATTTTCGGGAAATGAATATGTTAAAACACTTCAAAGTACTCTCAGAACCGCATTTAATTCTGTATTAATTTCAATACAACGAATCTATTTGAAGTCTGCTGGTTGTCTTTTGATTTTTTCAACAAATGTATTTACCGGAAAAAATTTCCGCCAAATTACGAGTCTACAAGTCTTGTCATGCTCGAAACAAATTGGCGCACGCGCACTACAGTTTAATTTTCACGCCTCATTGGCTTAGCTCCGATCCCGGATAGATTTTCCCTTTCGTATCTTTTTTTTTTTTTTTTTTTTTTTTTTTTGCGTTTGTTAATGTTTGAACAATGTCGCACCCGATGTGCGGCCTGCTGTGACCCAATTAGCTTATGTGAGAGAAATGCGCGAGGTCTCAATTTTGGAATTTTGTGCGCGACGTCCAAAGATTTTTAATTTGGGAATACTTTACGTAGTTTTCTCGAACTGCGCCTGGAGCTTGAGAAAAATATCGCGCCAGCCACAATGATGACGAAATTGGGCTGGCGCGGGCGGGAAAACGTTCTGAAACGGGCGAGGGTTACTTCTACTGACCATTCGTGAAACTTTTTTCCTGTAGTTTCTGACTAACGGTGGAACCTGACTGATGAAACATGTTGCGAACTCACTAATTCTGATTGTTTATATCGTGTCACTGACCGTACATGTTATCGAGGCCCCTAATACTGAGCGCCGATGTATTTTCCCTTTTATCAACCCCGAAATGTCCCGATAAATTCGAATCGTGGACTTCTTGAATTACTAATTCGCGAAGTAGACGATAACTTGGGACCCAAATTCGATATGTTCCACTTGGTAAGTAATAGACGCCTTTCCGTGTAGTGACTGGGAGATGGCCTTCATTTACGAAGAACGGGTCAGTCGAATACCCGTGGATAAATAGTCCACTGAGTAGCGGGTTGCTCTGGGCGACTAGTATTGCTGCGAGTTGGGCAGATGGTCTGGAGAGGGCGTCGGCAATATTGTTGGCGCCTTTTTTATACGTGATCTTGTACGTGAAATTGGACTCCAGATAGTCCAGCTAGCATATCTTCCGCGGGTTGAGATTCGGCTGCGCTCTCAAGTACTGTAGTGATTTGTGATCGATAGCACCTCCAGATTTTGAACGCGTGGACGATCACCAACATCTCCTTGTCGAGTACTGGGTAGTTGCGCTCAGCATATTGCATTTTCCGAGACTCGTACGCAATTGGTTGAAGCCCATTGCCGAAATCCTGCATGAGCACTGCTCCGATGGCGATGTCACTTGCGTCGGTGATGACTTCGAAGGGCCGTTCCGGGTCAGCGATGCGAAGGACCGGTGGCGACATTAAAAGATTTTTTTATGCCTCGAACGCAGCTTGCTGCTTCTCCCCCCACTCGTAGCAAGTCCCCCTTTGCAGTAGGTCGGTTAGAGGTCCAGTTAACCCCGCCGTGTTGGGTATAAACCGCCGCACGTAATTCATGAAACCCAGAAATGATTGCAGCTGCTGCAGATTTGTTGGTGGTCTCCATTCCTGAATAGCCTAGAGTTTTTTCGGGTCTATCCGGATCCCCTCCGTGGAGATCACGTGCCCCAGAAACTCCAATTCTTGTTTTAAAAACTCGCACTTGGAGCCCTTTGTGATGAGACGATGCTGCTGCAACCGCTGAAAAACTGCGTCCAAATCCTTTAAATGTTGCTCCCGGGTCTTGCAGTAGATCAGAATGTCGTCCAGGTAAATTATCACGCATTTGTCGAGAAGATCGCGGAACACCCCGTTCATGGTGAGTTGGAACGTCGAGGGGGCGTTCGTTAATCCAAACGGCATCAGCGTGTATTCGTAACTCACGTAGCGAGTACGAAACGCGTTCTTGTGGGAGTCGTCAGCGAACACGCGTCAGCGATCCGAACGGCTTCGTGAAACGTCGCCGGTAGTCGCATTCGGACCTCGCATTTAATGTCATGCTTCAAACCCGAAATGAATCGAGCTTTCTTCTCGGAGTCATGCATGTCGGTGATTTGATCGCATAACGCCATGAAGACCGACGCGTAATCCTAGACAGAACTCCACAAGCGCCAGTTGTCCAGCTTCGTGCGTGCGTTGTCCGAGGCGGATATTGGCTCGAACCGTTCACGCAGAGCTGTACCCCAAGCCTTCCACGTGCGAATCTTGGTCGATCCAAAAATCGCGGTTGACCCTTGGGCAGCAGACCCAAAGTTTCCGAAAAACCCCTGTGTGTCGCCTGCCGAAAACTCCCCCTCCTGTAGAGTATATCGCCACCAATCTAGCGCAGGTCCCCGCAGTAGTGATACATCCAATCGAATTTTTAAATCGTCAGCAGTGATCCCAGCGGCATTAAAATAAAGTTCCGCCAAAATTAACCAGCCCGTAACAGTAGTATTCTTATCTGTGGGGTTGAACGGGGGCGGCATTGTCGGTTTGATCGTCGCTGTCCTCACGATCGGCATAAACGCCGGTGCGGCTACAGTAGCGGCTGCTTCTGACCGAGCGGCTGCTGCTGTCGCTGCTGCTGCTGCTGCTTCGGCTGCTGCTCGTGCGGCCACGTCAGCTGCTGCTGCGGCTTCACTGTCCTTGTGCTCCTGTGACACCTCACGTGTGATTTCGTCCAAGACGGTTTCGACACGTCCGGTGCTGGCGACCTCTTCTTGGGCGGCAGATTTCTGACGCGAATCCTCTTGCGCCTGGCGTAACTCAGCAACTTCCGCACGAAGTCGCTCGTTGTCCTCCACCAGTGTAGCCATGCGTGTGTTCATGGCGTTGAACTGCTCCCGAAGCTCGTTGAGCTGAGCTTGGTCCATTTGGCGAATGCTCCGCCGAGGCAGGTGGAAATCCGTAATGTGCCTGTACTCAGGTAAGCGCAAACGCTATCGTAGTTGGGCGAATTAATCAGTCTAATTCGCGAGCAACCGCTTTGCAGCTTACGTGAGGGACTTACCCCCCCCCCCCCCCCCCCCCCCCAAAAAAAAAATCAACTCACGAAAACGGGTGAGCGAGGAAAGTGGCTTTGAATACCAGGTGTTATGAATGAACAAGCAGAGTAGCGCGGAAATGAATAACGAGATGTTCACTCAATGAATGACGATACAAGGAATGGCAAGCCAAGATATAGGAACACCAGAGCTAGTCTAACCATGCGATGGGAAGGTTCGGGAAAGAGATCGAAGGGCCGCGAAGTGACGAAGCGACGCCCGGAGAACTCCTGAAGGTCGAACTTGAAGGTCTGGAGAAGCCGAGGCGATTCTGTCAGAAAGGTCTGGAACAGTCCCGAGGCTTCGGGTGTGTTCGAGCGTACGCGCTAGCAGTACCGCTCGGTAAGGAATGGAAAATTCCTTACAAATGGACAGTAGAAGTAACCCCCGGCCGTCGAGGAACGTTTTCCCGCTCGCGCCAGCCCAATTTCGTCATCATTGCGGCTGGCGCGATATTTTTCCCGAGCTCCAGGCGCTGTTCGAGAGAGGGGGGTAAAGTGGTGGCGGTTGTATTTTTGGGGTGTAGAGGCCTAGTACACCCTTGCGGTTCATGCAACGCCACACGCAAGGTGGACTTCGCGATTAAGCGAACGTCAGCATTGCGTCAGGTTTGCGTCAAATTTGCCAGGGAGGGAAGCGACGGGGGTGTTTCCCTGACGTTGATGTCATCCGCAGATGGACCTGTTCTGTAGGCATGTCGACGTAACTAGGTTCGGGTACGTTGTGCCAGGTTTGGACAAAACTTTGCGGGCTGACCCTCGATCCGAAGCAAAAAATCTCGCACTTTCCTTTTTTGCCTGCAGAACGCAGCCATCATGTGCAAGGAAAACGACGTCACCCGATGTCCCAACAGGGTACAGTTTGCTTTTGTTTGATTGAGAAGTTGGCTGTGCGTTCGGAAGCGGTGACTCGAAGTCAAACCGTGACGTCGTGCCGTTCGAGCTACTTGATACACGCCCCAACGGGTCCATTATGCTCTGGAGACGCGCAAGCACCAGTCTTGCGGCGGTGGGGGACACCGAATTTCGGCGCACCACGTCATGCCCACGTACTGTGCTTCAAGCGATCAGTCCCACGTCATCACTGTGAAATACAGCGTGGCTTGGCCGCCTTTGTGTCACAATACGCTAAAACACGCTAGCAATGCGTTACACCTATATGACTTTTGAACCTCAGATTCGAGATGAAAATGGTTTCCCGGCGGTGTCGCTGTTTTAGAACGGTTACCCGTGGTTCTCTTCCCCATTCAAGCGTTTAGTCCCCTACACCCTTCTGAGCCCTGATGCAGCTTGGCCTGAACGTGAATGTTGGCCTGAACGTGAATGCGACAGGTTTGCCTCTCCTGCGCCTGCTTCACGTACTCGATAGCTACCATAGCTAGTGTTACTAACCATTCTTGCCCCGCGAACTTCGCGAGACACTACAGCGACTTCAGTAACACGAACCCTCTGAAAATTTCCGCGCCCTACATTTATTCCGCGGCCCAAAAGAACGCAGTTTCGTTTCGTATCCGTCTCTGTAATGGCTAGACATCCGGCGGTCGCGAGATATGCGCCTTTCCTTCGCCGACCACCATGCACCGCTGCGCGGCTCTCCGCTCAAACGCGGAGTTTCCGCGCCCTTGCCCTGCTCGCGCTGTTCCTCGCCGGGGCGGCGTGCCCCCCCGCGGCATCTGCTGGCGGAAACTGCACCGCCGGGTTGCGTGGGCGAGCGCGGCTGCTGCTGCGGCAAATAGCGCAATCGGCGCAGCCTCAACAGGTGCGGCGGATCGGCCATGCCCCCATTCCCCCTTTCCCCCATTCCCATGTCCCCCTTCCCCATTCCCCCACGTCCCCATGCCTCCATTGTAACACCGCTTGCCTTGCATTGTAACATGCATGTTTTCCATGTCACGTTCCCATGCCCCCTTGTCGCTTGCCCCTGAGCCAGCCTAGACTCGTGCGGGCCACCCACCCACTCCCCAGGCACTCGTGCTCAGGGGCAGCCATGCCAAGGCCGCGCGCACAGGGGCAGTAGAGTGCCTCGTCTGCCGTTTCCCTGCGCCCTCTGCGCCCTTTGGCCAATTCCCTCTGCGCCATGCCTCTGCGCCTTCTCCGCCCGACCCCCTGTGCCATGCCCCCTGCGCCATGCCCCCTGTGCCATGCCCCCTGCACGATGCCCCCTGCGACACAGCCACTGTGACATGCTTATTGTGTGAGATACCCTTTTCTCCATGCCCCTTACCGCATGCCCCTTACCGCACGCCCCTTACCGCATGCCCCATGTCGCATGCCCCATGTCGCATGCCCCATGTCGCATGCCCCATGTCGCATGCCCCATGTCGCATGCCCCATGTCGCATGCCCCATATCGCATGCCCCATGTCGCATGCCCCATATCGCATGCCCCATGTCGCATGCCCCATGTCGCATGCCCCATGTCGCATGGCCCATGTCGCATGCCCCATGTCACATGGCCCACGTCACATGCCCCACGTCACATGCCCCATGCACCACTGATTCAATCAGCACATATAGCACTGGCGGGGTGGTGGGTGCGGAGGGGGAAGCGTGGGTTAGGAGGGGAGCGTGGGTGCTGCGGAGGTTCACAAGCAGCAGCGCAGAACCTTGAACATCCCATCCCAACAGTCGCTTCTGTCTCTCATGCTGCATTCGCTACGCCCTATGCACCCAGAAGCACCCAGGTGCACGTGTTGCAGGCAGGGGCAGGGCGAGTACAAGCGTGATTGGTGGCGGCCAGCAGCACAGCACCTTGATTGTCCAACCCCTTGCTCCATGCTCCATGCTCCATGCCCCATGCTCCTATGCACCCAGGTGCACATATCACTGGCGGGTGCGGGACGAGTGCTGGTGTGGTGGGTGACGGCCAGCAGCACGGCTCCTGCTACGGTGGCGTATGGGAGAAACGCGGGCAGTACACCAAGGTTGCCTCAGGCGGTGTGACTCGTTATAAGATCAACAGTTACACGTAAGGGTGACCCGATGCGTTACCTATGTCTCTTCTCCTCTTTCTTACCTCCTCTTTCCCCCACGTTGCTCTTCCCCCTCCCTCGTCTCTTCAAGCCCCATCCAATGCCCTCGATAGTCCCCATTCATTCTTGGCTACGTCCGTCAGCTGTTGCCACGTCATGCAAGCCCTGTTGCCACGTCATCATTGCCCTGTTGCCAAGTCATCCGTGCCATGTTGCCACGTCATGTTGGCCCCATCAGGTCTGGCGACATCCACAAGATGCTGCTGGGCCGGTGCTCGAGAATGACCTCTTGAAGCCTCAAGGATCTATGCCCACTCTTAAAGCCCGCCACCACATACTTGCTACCGTGTGGGGCGGGGGGCTGCAGTGGGCCTTGAGGCTCCGGAACCATTGATCTCCCACCTTTCTCCCCTTCGGCAGGTCCGGCACTTCAAATACATTCTCTTAAAGGCACTCGCCTATCCTCTCCCCTCCCACCTCCCTCCAACCCGCAGGTCGGGCTACATCCACAAGGTGCTGCTGGGGCAGCGCTGGAAGGACGGCCTCTTGAAGCCCGCCACCACCTACTACTACCGCGTGGGAGGGGCAGCAGGGGTTGGGCCTGAGAGGGCGTTCAAGACTCTTCCCCGTTGGACCCAATCCATCAACGTGGCAGTCATGGGTGAGTTGCGCTGCGCGCGCGCGCCTGTGCACAGTGGACCACCCAAAGCCCGCCACCACTACGTCCACTACCATCACTTGCCGCAACCATCACTTGCCGCAACTGCACGCCGCCACTTCCTCTCCCTCTTTCTCCCTCACTTCCTGTCCACCCCACACTTCCCACCCCCCATGTCCCTCCGTCCTCTGCCTGCCCCTACCAGCCCACGTGGGCACAGCAGCAACAGCCGCAACCGTTGCCCGCCTCTCCCACACAACCCCACACCCCCCTCGTCGTCCTCCACACAATAAACCCACCTGCCCTTCCCCCCCCCCCTCACCAAAACCCTCCACTCCCTCCCCCCCCCCACCTAACCAACATGGACACAACAGCAGAAGCCCCCAGCGCCACTCACTCACCTCTCCCGCACGCTGCACTCCCCCACTCACTGCCTTCCCTCCTACCTTCCCACCCAACCGACATGGACTCCACAGCTGCAGCTGCTGCCACTGTCGCCCGCTTTTCCTATTGGCCCTCCCACCAACTTTTCCCCTCCACCTCCCCCTTCTCCCCCGTTCTTTCCCTTCTTCCCCCTCCTCCTCACCACCCCCCATGGACTCCACAGCAGCAGCCGCCACCATCGCCCCCTCTCACGGCCCACTCCCTCCTCATCGTCCCTCCACTCCACACACAACACATCTTCCCCCTGCAACCCCCCTCCCCTGCCTCCCCTCCACACCCCCTCTTCCCCGCCACCAGCCGACATGGACTGCACAGCACCAGTCACCGCCACTGTTTTCTTACTCCGTCCTAGTCTCCCCTCCCCACTCTCAACCACTCCCCCTTCTCCCCCTTTCAGCCCCTCCCTCACTCTCCCCCTTCCTCTGCCCCTCTAGCCAGGTGAAAGCAGCAGCAGCCGCCGCTACTTTCAACCGCCTCTCCCACACGCCCCCACTCCCTCCCAGTCTTCCCTCCACGCACAAATACACCCCTGATCCCCCTCCCACCTCGCACACCCCCTCTTCCTTCCCCACCAGCCAATGTGGATTCCACACAGCAGCAGCTGGCGCCGCCAGCGACTCCCGCATCTCTGGCCCTCCCACCCACTCCCCTCTCCCTCCTTCCCGCTCCGTTCCCTCCTTTTTCCCCACACAAATATTTTCCCTCCCCCGCCTTCCCACTGCACACCAGCTGACATGGACTCCACAACAGCAGCAGCCGCCACCGTCTCGCGCCTCTCCCGCACGCCACACTCCCTCCTGGTCTTCCCAGGGGACCTCTCCTACGCCAACGGCCACCAACCAGACTGGGACACGTGGCAGGCGCTCATCCAGCCAGCGGCGTCCCTGCGGCCGTGGATGATGGCTCCTGGGAACCACGAGGACGAGGCTGACGAGGGGGCGCCGAGCCTCAACCCCTTCAAGGCGTACAACGCGCGCTGGCCCATGCCAAGCACAGCTAGTGGGTCGCCCTCCAACCTGTTCTACTCGTTTGACAGCAGCAGCATCCACTGGGTCATGCTGTCGTGCTACTCGGACTACTCCCAGGGATCTGCCCAGTATAATTGGCTTCAGGTATGCCATGCTGGCAGTGTGGTGCATGCTGGGAGTGTGGTGCATGCCGGGAGTGTGGTGCATGGCGGGAGTGTGCTGCATGCCGGGAGTGTGGTGCATGGCGGAAGTGTGGTGCATACGGGAGTGTGGTGCATGCTGGGAGTGTAGTGCATGCGAGCAGTGTGCTGCATGCCGGGAGTGTGGTGCATGCCGGGAGTGTGGTGCATGCCGGGAGTGTGGTGCATGCCGGGAGTGTGGTGCATGCCGGGAGTGTGGTGCATGCCGGGAGTGTGCTGCATGCCGGGAGTGTGCTGCATGCCGGGAGTGTGGTGCATGCCGGGGTGGCATGCCGGGAGTGTGCTGCATGCCGGGAGTGTGCTGCATGCCGGGAGTGTGGTGGCATGCCGGGAGTGTGCTGCATGCCGGGAGTGTGCTGCATGCCGGGAGTGTGGTGCATGCGGGGAGTGTGTGCATGCGGGAGTGTGGTGCATGCGGGAGTGTGGTGCATGGCGGGAGTGTGGTGCATGCGGGAGTGTGTGCATGGCGGAGTGTGGTGCATCGGGGAGTGTGGTGCATGCGGGAGTGTGTGCATGCGAGAGTGTGCTGCATGCCGGGAGTGTGGTGCATGCCGGGAGTGTGGTGCATGCCGGGAGTGTGGTGCATGCCGGGAGTGTGGTGCATGCCGGGAGTGTGGTGCATGCCGGGAGTGTGGTGCATGCCGGGAGTGTGCTGCATGCCGGGAGTGTGGCTGCATGCCGGGAGTGTGCTGCATGCCGGGAGTGGTGCTGCATGCCGGGAGTGTGCTGCATGCCGGGAGTGTGCTGCATGCCGGGAGTGTGCTGCATGCTGGGAGTGTGCTGCATGCCGGGAGTGTGCTGCATGCCGGGAGTGTGCTGCATGCCGGGAGTGTGCTGCATGCCGGGAGTGTGCTGCATGCCGGGAGTGTGCTGCATGCCGGGAGTGTGCTGCATGCCGGGAGTGTGCTGCATGCCGGGAGTGTGCTGCATGCCGGGAGTGTGGTGCATGCCGGGAGTGTGCTGCATGCCGGGAGTGTGCTGCATGCCGGGAGTGTGGTGCATGCGGGGAGTGTAATGCATGCTGGGAGTGTGGTGCATGCCGGGAGTGTGGTGCATGGCGGGAGTGTGCTGCATGCCGGGAGTGTGGTGCATGGCGGAAGTGTGGTGCATACGGGGAGTGTGGTGCATGCTGGGAGTGTAGTGCATGCGAGCAGTGTGCTGCATGCCGGGAGTGTGGTGCATGCCGGGAGTGTGGTGCATGCCGGGAGTGTGGTGCATGCCGGGAGTGTGGTGCATGCCGGGAGTGTGGTGCATGCCAGGAGTGGCTGCATGCCGGGAGTGTGGTGCATGCCGGGAGTGTGCTGCATGCCGGGAGTGTGCTGCATGCCGGAGTGTGCTGCATGCCGGGAGTGTGGTGCATGCCGGGAGTGTGCTGCATGCTGGGAGTGTGCTGCATGCTGGGAGTGTGCTGCATGCCGGGAGTGTGCTGCATGCCGGGAGTGTGCTGCATGCCGGGAGTGTGCTGCATGCCGGGAGTGTGCTGCATGCCGGGAGTGTGCTGCATGCCGGGAGTGTGCTGCATGCCGGGAGTGTGCTGCATGCCGGGAGTGTGCTGCATGCCGGGAGTGTGGTGCATGCCGGGAGTGTGCTGCATGCCGGGAGTGTGCTGCATGCCGGGAGTGTGGTGCATGCGGGGAGTGTAATGCATGCTGGGAGTGTGGTGCATGCCGGGAGTGTGGTGCATGGCGGGAGTGTGCTGCATGCCGGGAGTGTGGTGCATGGCGGAAGTGTGGTGCATACGGGGAGTGTGGTGCATGCTGGGAGTGTAGTGCATGCGAGCAGTGTGTTGCATGCCGGGAGTGTGGTGCATGCCGGGAGTGTGGTGCATGCCGGGAGTGTGGTGCATGCGGGAGTGTGGTGCGTGCCGGGAGTGTGGTGCATGCCGGGAGTGTGCTGCATGCCGGGAGTGTGGTGCATGCCGGGAGTGTGCTGCATGCCGGGAGTGTGCTGCATGCCGGGAGTGTGGTGCATGCCGGGAGTGTGCTGCATGCCGGGAGTGTGCTGCATGCCGGGAGTGTGCTGCATGCCGGGAGTGTGGTGCATGCCGGGAGTGTGCTGCATGCTGGGAGTGTGGTGCATGCCGGGAGTGTTGTGCATGCCGGGAGTGTGCTGCATGCAGGGAGTGTGGTGCATGCGGGGAGTGTGGTGCATGCTGGGAGTGTGCTGCATGCCGGGAGTGTGCTGCATGCCGGGAGTGTGCTGCATGCCGGGAGTGTTGTGCATGCCGGGAGTGTGCTGCATGCAGGGAGTGTGGTGCATGCGGGGAGTGTGGTGCATGTTGGGAGTGTGGTGCATGTAGACATGGGCAAAAAAAATCGCATCGCGTCGTATTTAATCGCGTTTTTGCGATTGAGATGTTTTGTTTTTGTTTTTTTGTTTTGTTTTGTTTTGTTTTGTTTTTTAATAAATCATCGCTCGATGCAATGAATTGATATCGCGCGATTTAAATTAAATTGCATTTAATCGCGCTATAAAAAACCCGATTTAAATGCGATATGCGATTTTTTAAAAAATCGCGCGCGATGTTGCACTGAAACCCACTCTGAAACCTACAACGAAACCACACTGGTTATTTGCACTCTAACTTACGACTGCCCCTGAGTCAAGTTCACCACAGCCATGGTTTTTTCCTGTTTTTTGGGGGTGTTTTTTTATTTTGTTTTAAAACGCGATGCGATTTAAAATCGCATCGCGCGATTTAATTAAATACCGCATGCGGTTTACATATTCATCGGCGCGCAACACGCCGATGAGCGATGATTTTTTTCTAGAAATTAAATCGCGCGATGCGATTTAAAATCGTATCGCATTTAATTACATCGCCCCCCAATGCGATACGATTTAAATCGCAATCGCATTTTGCCCTTAGTTGCTACAAACGCGTTTGGCGTTTGAACGCTAGCGTTTAAACGCTAGCGTTTGAACGCTAAACGCTCGGCAGCGTGTATGTGAACGCTAGGCAAACCTTGCCCGGGCAGGGGTAAAAATTTTACCGGGGCAGGGGTTCAAGATTCCTGTGGGGGAGGGGGGAAACATGGGGGTTCTACCAGCAAGCATTTTGTCTCATAAAAAAAGAACCGTGCTTAACATTTAAGCCAGCATCCTCATATGTCATGTAAATCACCTATCCTTGAGGCTATTCTCCAACGACAATCTCGTGTTTTTTTGGGGGGGCAGCCCGAAAAAAATCCCAGAGAGCGTTTGCGTTTTTGGGTGCGTTTGGCGTTTGCGTTCAAACGCTAGCGTTTGAACGCCAAACGCTTGTCTCCCAGAGCGTTTGTAGCAACTAAGATTTTGCCCATGTCTAGGTGCATGCGGGGAGTGTGGTGCATGCCGGGATGTGGTGCATGCCGGGAGTGTGGTGCATGCCGGGAGTGTGGTGCGTGCCGGGAGTGTGGTGCATGCGGGGAGTGTGGTGCATGCGGGGAGTGTGGTGCATGTTGGGAGTGTGGTGCATGCCGGGAGTGTGCTGCATGCCGGGAGTGTGCTGCATGCCGGGAGCGTGCTGCATGCCGGGAGTGTGGTGCATGCCAGGAGTGTGGTGCATGCCAGGAGTGTGGTGCATGCCGGGAGTGTGGTGCATGCCGGGAGTGTGGTGCATGCTCGGAGTGTGGTGCATGCCGGGAGTATTGTGCATGCCGGGAGTGTTGTGCATGCCAGGAGTGTGGTGCATGCAGGGAGTGTGGTGCATGCAGGGAGTGTGGTGCATGCTGGGAGTGTGGTGCATGCCGGGAGTGTGGTGCATGCCGGGAGTGTGCTGCATGCCGGGAGTGTGGTGCACGCCAGGAGTGTGGTGCACGCCGGGAGTGTGGTACATGCCAGGAGTGTGGTACATGCCAGGAGTGTGGTGCATGCTGGGAGTGTGGTGCATGCTGGGAGTGTGGTGCATGCTGGGAGTGTGGTGCATGCTGGGAATGTGGTGCATGCCGGGAGTGTTGTGCATGCTGGGAGTGTGCTGCATGCAGGGAGTGTGGTGCATGCGGGGAGTGTGGTGCATGTTGGGAGTGTGGTGCATGCAGGGAGTGTGGTGCATGCCGGGAGTGTGCTGCATGCCGGGAGTGGCTGCATGCCGGGAGTGTGGTGCGTGCCGGGAGTGTGGTGCGTGCCAGGAGTGTGGTGTATGCGGGGAGTGTGGTGTATGTTGGGAGTGTGGTGCATGTTGGGAGTGTGGTGCATGCCGGGAGTGTGGTGCATGCGGGAGTGTGGTGCATGCCGGGATGTGGTGCATGCCGGGAGTGTGGTGCAGCCGGAGTGTGGATGCGGGAGTGGGTGCATCCGGGAGTGTGGTGCATGCCGGGAGTGTGGTGCATGCCGGGAGGTGGTGCGTGCCGGGAGTGTGGTGCTGCCAGGAGTGTGGTGCATGCGGGAGTGTGGTGCATGCCGGGAGTGTGGTGCATGCAGGGAGTGTGGTGCATGCTGGGAGTGTGGTGGATGTTGGGAGTGTGGTGCATGCCAGGAGTGTTGTGCATGCCAGGAGTGTGGTGCATGCAGGGAGTGTGGTGCATGCTGGGAGTGTGGTGGATGCTGGGAGTGTGGTGCATGCTGGGAGTGTGGTGCATGCCGGGAGTGTTGTGCATGCCGGGAGTGTGCTGCATGCAGGGAGTGTGGTGCATGCGGGAGTGTGGTGCATGTTGGGAGTGTGGTGCATGCCGGGAGTGTGGTGCATGCCGGAGTGTGGTGCATGCCGGGAGTGTGCCGCATGCCGGGAGTGTGGTGCGTGCCGGGAGTGTGGTGCATGCCAGGATGTGGTGTATGTGGGGAGGTGGTGCATGTTGGGAGTGTGGTGCATGTGGGAGTGTGGTGCATGCCGGGAGTGTGGTGCATGCCGGGAGTGGGTGCATGCAGGGAGTGTGGTGCATGCCGGGAGTGTGGTGCATGCCGGGAGTGTGGTGCATGCCGGGAGTGTGGTGCATGCGGGAGGTGTGCATGCCGGGAGTGTGGTGC